ATATTTTTTTGTCAATGGAAAACTCTGGAAATTATAGGGGTTTTGTAGATGAATACAGAAAGTTAGTTTGTAAAATCACGAACTCATGATTTAAAGTAAAAGAAGAAAATAGAAAAAAATTAAGAAGCTAGGTGAAAATATAATTTGTTTATCTAGTACCCGAATTTTTAATTTAAAAATGCATAAAACTTTTAATAATTCTAAGGAAAAATTTAAGTCATTTTAAGAAAAAATATCTAGTACTTTATTTTTTCAAAATTACGAGAATCATTAGTGGGCCCTGAATTATATTAAAATTGATTTTATTGAGCTAGACTAAATTTAAATCATTATTAAAGTAAATCGCAATCTTTATAATTGCATAAATGATGGAAAATAAAAACTCAGTTAATGTTATATGTCCGAATTGCATAACTAGAAGTTTCTCTACATTTTTTTAAAATGTTAACTTTATTCCAAGATAAAAAAATAAAAAAAATTTAAATAACCTATTTTGTAAGAAAAGGAAAGATTTGTTATTTAAAATTTTAAAATCCTGTCATGTCCGTCGGGGGCGTAGCTCAGATGGTAGAGCGCTCGCTTAGCATGCGAGAGGTACCGGGATCGATACCCGGCGCCTCCACTTTTTTTTTGTGTGGATGTCTTTTTTTACATAATTAGAGTTTTTTCGACACCTTCTGTTTTTGCAATTCAAGTAGGAAAAACATTAAAAATCAAAAAAGTTATTGCGTTGACAATTTCACAAAATGCAGCTATATTTTGCTTGAATTTTTTAAATGGGAGTCAGACTAATTTATAATAGTGTAAAATTATGTACACAAGTCGGACAATAGCGATTTACATTAGTGACGATTAATATTCGTATGTGTATTTTAATTAATTGTTTTATTTATGTTAAGGTGCATACATACTTTTTACTTTAACTTTTTGTGCTTTTTTTCCCATAATTTTGAAATTTTCGCCTCAAAGAATTAGAATTTAAAAAAAAAAAATGTTAGATTCTTTACAATAATTACTTCTTTTTCGTGGTTTGCATAATTAAATAGTTTTGAAACTTCAATTAAATGCAGTATTGTTTAAAAATTCGATAAAACTATGTATTTTTTACCACGTTTATATCAACTTGCCTTCGTGTATGTCTGTTCGGGTGGAATTTTGTAATCGATTTTAAACTAACTTCCCGACTAACTACAGACTTCAAATTTGGCACATAGTTCAGAATTGGATGACAATGCATGAAAATGAAGAGAAAAAAGACATACAAAGTAAAATAAAATTAAAATTAAAGAAAAATTTATATTTTCGAGATTGTCTTTTGTTGTCGATTCGATTATTTCAAATTAGTGTCACATGTCAGTTGAAAAGTTTTGTGTACAGTGAGTGAAAAATTGAGATTTTGGAAGTGAGTATAAAAAAAAATTTAAAAAAATCTAAATAAAGAGTAATATTTTTAAAAACCACGTTTTTGTAGTGGAGAATAATAATGAAAAAACAAAAATTTGGAAAACGAAAAACGTGGTGCGCATGAAATACATAACAGTACATATACACATTTTCTTACTCATACACATGCACAGCCACATACACATCCTCATAAACATCCTCATGCACATGCATAGACACAAACATATTCCACATCCACATTCAGATACAATTACAATAACAGATATACATACACATATTCTCATGAGCACACATACACACACTAATATAACATTACTGTTATGTATTTCATGCACCCCACGTTTTTCGTTTTTCAAATTTTTGTTTTTTAATTATTATTCTCCACTACAAAAACGTGGTTTTTAAAAATATTACTTTTTATTTAGATTTTTTTAAATTTTTTTTTCTTAATAATTATTAAATTCATTTATTGTATTTAAATTGACCATAACATAAAAATATGTATGTTCCTACTTTACAATTTAACATATAACAGGTGCAATTGAACATGTGAACTATTTATGTTCTTTTACTTTGATTAAACCAAAGGTACACGTATGTGTACCTATAACTATTAGCCCCCTGATAATATAGTTCATATTTTGTTTATCTTCTTGTGACTTATGGGAGCAAAATAGAAATTTGGAACAGTAAAACATTTTTGTACAATATTCCTCTATAATTCTGTAGAGAAAAGGTTAAAGAAGAAATTGCACTGATGGCGTGTTTCATTAACATGCTATTAAATTGAGCCATAAACAGCAATTTTTTAGACGTTTTTCTCACGGTATCAGGCATCAATTAAAGATAAATTTTCCTAAGCCCAGAAGTTAATTTACTTTTGAATGAACCGTTCCTGGAAGCCGAAAACGGCAACATTTAAAACAACAAACGACTGCGCTACCCGAGACGGCGTGATTCTACAATTCCAGTAAGAGATGTGGTTTAAAAAACCATTCCTGTATACTAGATATTGTCTTCGCATAACGGTTTCAGTGATTAGATGCATAAATCGTTCTATTATTTCCTCGGGTTAAGTAGCATAAAAAAACGAAATAAAAGGAGTAGGTGCTTTAAATGTAACCCAAAACCTGCTTTTAGTAACCTCCATCCACGGGTTCGAGTCAAAGGTCAGGAAGGTAAGGCGACGAGTATCTTTTTGAGATGATTCTGCCCTTAAAATTTTTTTTCAAATAACTGTGCATGTATTCTTCTTGGTCGAGCTGGAGAGGAAATATGAAATGAAATTTCACTTCCTGTTGTCCTTGCGGACTGGTAACGACCGTTCCTGACCGCATTTTGCATCTTCGTCTGATGGGCTTGGTATTCAAATTTGCATCGTTACTCTTTTTTGGTGTATAACGACGAATAAAGGAATCTCTTCAGAAATTCCATTTACGATTGAGTTTATATTTTCCGTGTTGGTTCAAGTTTAATACTTTTGATGTTTTCCATTGACTTAATTTAAGCCTGTAGGCAGTAGACTTGAATGTCAGAGGCTTGCTTTAAAATTAAGTTAAACTGCTATTAAGACATGAATTTACTTTTAACTTTTGAATCACTTAGTAATATTTCCTTTTGTTTCCTAAGTTAATTTAGCTATTTATATAAGAATTTAGCGGTTTAGATTTCGGACATTTTGAAATTAAACCTTTAGGCTAATTCAAATCATAAAAGGGAATGGAGCCGGATCTCAGAACTAAATTTATAGCGGATTATGAATTAAATGTACATTTTGCATACATATAAAAGCATGCATATAGATGTATGTAATTAGACATAAAAGAATGTGTATGTAATTATTATATGACATATGTGATAATAATTAAAATACGAACTTGAACTTTGTGTTAGAAAATATCAATTTAGTTTCCTTTATTTTTTTTTTATAAATTTTTTTGTTCTTAAGAGTTTTTATTTCATAATTATATTTTTAATGTTAGTAAATTTACAAAGAGTAGTTTAAATAATTTATAATAGTTGCAAAAGATTTGATTGTCAAGACCAGGGATGGGGAAACTACGACCCGCGGGCCAACTGTGGCCCGCCGGAAGATTTTATCCGGCCCGCGGACAGAATTTTAACTAGCCGATCAGTGGCGAATATATCTACTTTGTTTAAAACTATTTTTGTTGATTTCTTTTTTAACAAAGTACTGATGACCTTTTCACTTTGTCTATTTTTGTTCTACAAAACATAAATTAATCAAAATAGTTAGCACAAACAGCTTTAACTGGTAAAATTTTGAAAGCAAAAGTTCTTTATAAAATAGCTGTAGATTAGCTCCAACTAGTATTTGTCTTTCTCGAGGAGCAGACATATGGAATCTAATATAGGTGAATTGTACTTGTGAACTGACTTGTGAACTGTTGAATTGTACTTGTGAACTGTACTTGTGAACTGACTACGCGTTTTAAGTTCCAACGAACGGATTTTTCTGCCGGCTCTAGTTCTAACATAATTTACTGCGTATGGAAAGGTTGCACACATACAACGTCATTGTAAATAATGGTGAAATTATTAAATGTATAAAATGGCTACTGCCTTTTTGAGTTATTTGTAAACATTNTTAGTTTCCTTTATTTTTTTTAATAAATTTTTTTGTTCTTAAGAGTTTTTATTTCATAATTATATTTTTTATGTTAGTAAATTTACAAAGAATAGTTTAAATAATTTATAATAGTTGTAAAAGATTTGATTGTCAAGACTCTAGTCTGTTACCTATCAAATTCATTACCATGTAGTCGGTTGCAGATTTGAGTGTTGGTAAAAGTTTTGGCATCATTAAGTTTTGTTTCAGTTCCAAATTATTCAGTTTTTCTAATTTGTAAAAAAATTTTTTTTTCAAATACGTATAGAAAAAGTTTTTATTTTTTATTATTGTTATTATTTTTTCAAGCATTGTAATCAAATGCCATAATTTTAAAATATGCAAGATATCCCAGATTTCATGCAAGAAGTAATTATCAAAGATAACTCAGATTTTTAATCAAAAACCGTTTTTATTTTATGCAAACACTCGCATTGTAGAGCAATACATGGAATAGCATAGCAGGTAAGGTGTGCTGGCACACGCACTTTGCTGCCGAAACTTTTAATAGCAGATTTATAAAAAAATTATTTGATTTCGTTGATACAACATTGAATATTTTCTTTAAGGCACGTGGGATACCGGACTTTTTTTGCATAAACTTCAGGCTTCAGGGGAAAAAAATCAAAGAAAAAGTTCTTATGGTATAAAATCGCACAATATCGGTGTTTAATTCTGATCCCAGAAATAGATAGTTACTTTTCACGAAAATAAACTAACATAGCTTAAAATATCGTTCAAAACATTTTGTTCTTTAAAGCTTTGTTTTGTCACGTTTTGTTCTTTAAAGTAGCGTTCTATTTTTAATTGAATGAGCTGTTAGCTGTTCAATTGTTTTTTTTCTTCGCTAGAAAAAATTTCTTATATATATTTATTGCATAAAAGTGTCATTTGATTTTTGGGACACTTTTTATAATTCAAGTGAATGAATTAATTAATAATATTAAAAAAATGTCAATTCATGCAGATCTCATAGACCTTTGAGGGGACAAAGATAGACTTTGGACTTCAGAACTGAGGAACCAACAAATCAGAAACTCCAAGCCTCATTAGTTTTGATAACACCCTCTACTTAAAGTGGATTCAGGTGACATTTCGTTTCTTAAATCTTTTACTACTTAGCTTCACCTACCAAAGTAATCAAATGCATGAATGACTAGAACACCGTTGTTTAGTTATTAAAATACAAAAAGGCCATAAGACAAAGAGCTTTTTTTTTCAGAGCTTAGTCTGTTTGTGAATATTTTAAGACGTAATTGTTAAACGATTTTTCTTCTAAGAATTCCTAAAGCTTTCAGGTAAAACGTGTAATTTTATCTGTCATTGTATCCTGTTTCAATCCTACCAGATAATATTTTTGGCTGTTGGTACGATTCGGTTTCTTCAAAAAAGAAGTTTTCATCAATAATCTTCAAATTCCCTTTTTTCACGCCTCATAAAGCATCAAATGAGCGTATGGCACCTGTTGATGAATGATACTTTCCATTTCACGATTGCTAAAAAACAAAAATTAAACGAAAAGTCCGATTTTTGTTGACGGTATTGTCGCTTAATCTTGACTATTTAAAGTAATAAATAGAAAAAAATTATACAATGTATCTTGCGTTGTATCTTTCTAAAGAAGCAGAGAAAAGTTTTAGATTGAAGAAAAAAAGTGTTACTCATTGGCAGATCATACTATACATTTTATGAGTGCTAAAAGCAATAAATAAATGAGCTTTTCAATTTTTATCATTTGCTTTTTGTTGTCAGAAGTGTCATTTAATCTTGACTATTAAAAATGATAAAAATTGTACAATGTGTTATAAATTATATTTCCCTAAAGAAGTAAAGACGATGTATTGGGGAAAAAACGAAGGGTTATTATTACTTATTGATGATACTTATCACTGAGGAAAAAGAAAAACATTTTTTTAAAAAAAAATTATTTTTTGTTGGTAGCATTGTAACGCAATCTCAACTGTTTAAAATAATAAAAATAAAAAACTATACAATGTACAGTACGTAAAATAAAAAGTTCACATTGAATAACTTTTGATCTAAAAACCGTATTTTCACGTTCTATAGCACAAAACGTGAGGGGGTTAATGGTCTGATTTGGATGGTTAACCTCAATGGCTTGGGGGTTCACTTCAAATATGCTAATTAATTAGTTCAGACGACATTTAAGTTACAAAATGAGATGCAAAAATGTACTTTCTCTGAATAAACATACTTTTTTTCCTTCTTTTTTTGACGGATTCTGATTTTTGATCCCGATAATATAGGGAGTAGCCCTAATCTAGGAAATATGGCCTCCTAGTTTGGACCCGTTAATGTTAATTTTATTTTCTGTTTATTTCGCCATATCTCGAGAACTTTTTAAGCGAATAGAAAATTTTCGCACACAATTTTAAAATTTGTTAAAGATAATTTTATGCAAAACGTAACTTTTAGTAAATATTAGTCATTTTTTATAATTTTGTTTAATAATGGTAAAAATTTTTTTTTTTAATTTTAAGATATACAATTTTTTACATTATTATTATTTTTTTAAAATTTAATGTTTCATTGTCAAAATGCAGAATTTCAGTTAAATCGGTCCAATACTTCCTGAGAAATAGAATTATAAAGAAGCCGTATTTTTCAAAAGTCGGTTTCTCGGGAACTATTCCATCTAGTTCGATCAAATTTTGTATTTTGCCATTTTCAAAGTTATATCCTTTAAAATGATGGAAAAAACTGTATACCTTACAATTCAAAATTTTTCCTCCCGTTTCAGGTTTTTATAATTCTTTTTCGCACTAAGTTAATAAGATCTCGCACTAAACGTAGTTTCAGAATTTTTTAAAATGAGGTAAACTTGCTGAAAAAATAATAATAAAAAAAAAAATAGTGCGTGGAGTCCCTCCGCGCGGAAGAAGTTAAACTTCGCAACCTGCGACGTTAATTGTAGAAGAATCAGCAGTCGTAGAAGGATCACTAGTTCTATTCAACGACTCTTTTTCCTGCTCCGCTAGGTTCCGTTCTCTGTAATCACGTTAATATTGTGCATTTTTCCCTCATGGACCTCTTGAACCAGTGGAAGTGCTTGTGGTTGCCTCATCGTCTCGCCCTGGAAAATGTATTTGTATTAATAATGTATGTGAATGAGTCATAATGTAATTTCAGAAGAGAAAACCCTAACAATCAATTGATATTCACAAGACACGTACCTTGATATAACCTTAAATCCGTCGCATTGTCCGTGGGATTGTTTTCACTCATTTTTTACAATTGTTATCCACTAAATTTGAAAATAAAAAATACTACCCTATTAAATTATATGTGTATCAAAACAAACTAAAAAAATATTTATAGAAAAACAATGCTTTTATGACTTTTATTATTTTTATGCTAGTGAGAACCAAAACAATATGGAAATGAATGAGGGAAAACTGGATCCAACCACGTGATTTCCCGGCCAATAAAAATGTAGTGTTAAAGGTTTAACGCAACCTTGTTGGAAGTCGCATAAGAAGTATAACTTCAAAAATTTGCTTAAGTTTTAGAGTTCATCCACAGAGTAAGACTGTTTATGTTGATATTTTCCCATTAAATTTTTACATAAAAAAAACATCTCTAAATGAAACATAATTGTTTTTTATTTATTTAATTTATTTATTGTCTATTTTACGTGTCTGTTCTATTTCCTTTACCTTCTAAATTGTTAGAAAAGGAATTTAATTTAATTGAAGAATTGAGTTTTGATTAATGTTTTTAAGGGACATTTTAATGAATGGGAGATAATCATATTTAAAGCATTTATGTTCGCCAGTTTCTATTTAGCATATTTTATAAATCCCTAACAATCATTTAAACTGCTCGTGTCATAGTCATAACCCTTCTGGCGTCATAGTTTGCTATCAAAAGAGAGGTTTTCAATGGATACTCGTAGACCGTTGCCGAAAGCACTTTAAATTACTTTATAAAAAAATTAAATTGCTGTTTTATACCTTCATAGATTAATATTTGTTAAATTTAAAGACAGAATAAATTATAGACTGAGATGAGATCTTTCTCAGAAAAATCTCAATTATTTCAAAAATTTCACTAAAAATCTTTCATTTCCTAAGCTCTACAACTGGAAACTGGAATAAATTACAATATTTTAAATGAGTTTTTAAGCAATCATTTTCTTCTCTGAGAAGATATTAATTTTTTTTAAACTTTTTACTTCACTTCATTTAAGCGGAAATTATAATAGACACAAATTTAGTTGCTTCAAATTAATGAAATATTATTTTGTACTTAAATTAAACTATTAATAATTTAATAACAAAAAAATTACTTCACTAAATCTATATTTGAATGAGATTGATGTATTTTGATTAAGTTTTTTCAACTAATTCAATTACAGAATTGAGAGAAATTAATTATTTTAATCAAGCAATTTATTGTCTTATTTCCTTTCAAATTAAGCCCTTTTTTTTCTCTAAAATTATATATTTTTTCCTCTAAAATTGTCGCTGTGGACTAAAGTTTTTTAGTTTGTTATTTTTCACAAAATTGAATCTACCGTGTGGTCCTACCAAAGTCTTGAGATTTTTTCCACATGTGCATTTCTTAGTGAAGCAATTAAGGTAGATGGTTATCAAAGAGGCAACGACTCCCATATAGAACAATGGAGGGATAATAACTACTATTTTGACTTCTAAATGTAGAATGTTTACTTTCTTCAGATTTAGGTAGTTGAATATTTTTGAAATCTCTTTTATGTTAGTCCGGAAAACCATAACAGCAGCGGAAATAATACTTTCTTTTAGAGTAAACAATTTTTTTTTTGTTTTTTTTACAACTTAGTGATAAAACGTTTGAGCTTTGATGGTTGCAAAATGACTGGATAAAAAAAAAATTGCTTGAGAAAATTATAGGATTTTTTTGAAAAACTTTTTTTCCCCGTGCAAATAGCAGACATTTTTTTTTTTCTTTAGCTTTCACAACAAACCGATTCATTTGCTTTGTCTTTTCGACGAGATCACTTCGAGAAATAAGAAAATGCAGGCAAATGTCTTTTTTATTTTTGCATAAACGAGTTTAAATAGGAAGTCCTGTGTGCGGAAAAAGTGCTCTCATACCTATGCAATCATCACAAATTATTGCCATTTTTTAATGGTGAGGAATCCAGATGCGTCAGTCCTGAGTGTCTGCGATCTGACTAAATTGACAGAGTAGAACTGTTGATTGTAGCTAAAAGAGGTGAAGAATCGCTTTATGCCGTCTATTACTGAAGAATTTTTATAGCAATAAAAACATTGACAATGTCACGTTAAGTGAGCCTTTTTATGATTTCACCAATTATAAGAAACTCAAGATTTGATGTACGAGAAAAAAATGGGAATATTTTGCTAGGGGTGATTTTAAATATGAATCAATCAGCGTTTAAGACAAGAAATAAGTCAGAACAATAGTTGTAAATACTATATTAGTTAAATTTATATTTCGCGTTGTAAATTTAAAGCTCTGATGGAAAACAAATTTTTTTTGGTTTTCTTTTTCCCAATGTTTATTTGCTGTTTAACTCTTTTTAGTGAAGAGACATTATTAAGAAATGTTCAGATAAGTGGAAGCATTGATGGTTCCAACTACATTTACATAAAGCTTTTTTTTTTTTTTTTTTTTTGCTTTTGCGGCAAACCGATTAATTTGCTTAGTATTTTTGACAAAATTATTTCTTGAAATAAGCGAATTCAAACTAGTTTCTTTTTATTTTAACTCAAACGAGTTTAGATAACATTCCTCAATGCGGCATAAGTGCTTTTAAACATATACAATCATCTCAAATGAGTGCCATTTTTCGATGGTTAGAAAATTAGTGTCCATGTGTTCGAGTGTCAGTTTCGAGTGTCTATGATCTAATTAAATTGATAGAGTAGTTGATTATATTAAAAAAATGAAGAATCGCTTTATCTCGTCTATTACTAAAGAATTTTTATGGTAATAAAAGCATTGAGAATGTCATGCTAAGTAAGCCTTTTTATGACTTTACCAATCATAAGAAGCTAAAGATCAATTTACGAGAAAAAATGGGAATATTTTGCAAGGGGAGTTTTTAAATATGAATCAATAAGCGCTTAAGACAAGAAATAAGTCAGAACAATAGTAGTCAATATCGTATTAGTATGCGTATGTTTCAAATTTATATTTCGCGTTTCAAATTTGATGATAAAAATTTGTTTAGTT